ACATATTTCAAGTTCACCATTACACCATTTTAGGTTTTCATCTTTTGGTTCACTTCAAAGCAACTTACTTCTAAAAGGTTGAAACTAAGAACATTCCCATGTTTCATCATTTTATAAAACGTGAACTGTATACAACAAATGCAAGAAAAATATTTAACTTGAGAAGCTGTAAAATGATTCCAGCAATTCATTATCTTAAAGCATCTGAAATAGAAAATTAAGCTTTACAATAGGAGGGATAGAATCCAAAATGCATCAGTTAAAATGCCGAAAATGTAAATCATGCGAGACGAAGGAGCTAGTCTGCCATTAAGGAACTTGGGCAGAAAAGGAAATAGCATACTCCCTGTGTCCCAATTTATGCAAAGAAGTTCACATTTATGTAAGGAGTACAAAGTACAAAGATCAAAACACCTAATTTTCTATGCAAATTCAGATGTGGATTATCTATAATTTTTAAATAAATACCCAAATAAACACATCAATTAACAAGTTACCATAACTAATGATTCCACATATTTACAAGTTTGTAGAAAATCATAGTCAAGAAAGAAAATATTTACTCCCCAAACAGTAAATCCCGTCACATAAAATAGCAAAGGGATTGAATAATCTTTTGTCTTGCAGGTAAAAAGGTTTCAGTTCTAGAAACAACAGCATTCAAATAAACAACCATAATATTCAGTTGGTGTGGTGGTGGCTGGTGGAAGTCGACGAGGACTGGTGTGGTGGCTGCCGGTTTAGGCGTTAGGGTTTCTAGGAATTAGGTTTAGCCGTTTGGGAATTGGGACCTTAGGTGCGTAACGTTAGTCTTAGACAGATAGAGTACTGGAAACTAAAGTCAAGAGTTTTTGTCTTTTTTCATATTTAATATATATAAATAAAAATAAATTTTATATATATATATATATATATATATATATATATATATATATATATTCTTANTATATATATATATTCTTAACGGGTTAACGGATTATCCGTTAAGAAAATTGAATAATCCGCCCCCAAACCGATAAGCCGTTAATAAAAAAAATTTCAATCTGTTCCCCGTTCGTTAAGTCGTTAACCCATTACCAGTAAGCCATTAAGCTTCGGTTCGGTTCGGTTTTCGATTTCGGATCGATTTTGAACATCCCTATGCATCATTCTTCCGTTCAAACAATTAGTTCAACACCTACCATACTCAATTTCTTGATGACAATGTCGAGAACAAAACGCACTCAAGCGACTTATTTTCTAAGTACAACAAAGTATCATTAAGGCGTTACATGCTCAGGCCGGCAGTTGATTAGCACTAGAGACCAATTCGACACACGTCGCATTTATAAACTATGACTAATCACCTTTTGCGCATAATTTTATAATTTACATCACATTCTAGCCAACACAACCCAACATGACCAAAATTTCCATCATTCTTATTCAGGCAATTAATCGAACACCTAGCATGCAACAGAGGAGAGGCACCACTACACACATTACCAAAGAACAATCTTGCCCAAAATCAACCACTCCAAGAGCAATCACGCCCTAAATAATTCCCACACCAACAATGCACTAGGGCAAATCATTACCCAACAATAGAGTGGGTAACCAACTACAAAATTTCGAAGTTAATCTCCTTCCTCTTTTTTCTTTGTTTTCTGATTTTTCTTTTCAATATAAAATCTTCTAACAAGGACTACACAAAAAGAACCCACAAAAGAGAGAAGAACTCACCTGATTGCAAGAAGAGAGACGGATGAGGGAGTTGAGGGAGATGGGTGGAAAGCGAGAGCGAGAGGGAGAGGGAGATTGGTGTGGGGGAGGGGAAAGGGTCTTATTTTCCTTTCTTTTTGGGGGTTTAGATAGAGAGAATGAGGGCTTGGTGTGTTTGGGGTCGGTCAGGTCTAGTATTTAAGGGGATGGGGCGGAATTTTTCTATTTTTCTTTTTTCGATTTCTTTTTTTCTTCGAAAAAACATACCTGATGTGTCACATGGTGTGACGCTCAGTGCATACACTAGTATATTTTGCCGTCTACCAACTCTCTGATGTTCAAAATCCTCTGATGAAAACATGTGCTTCTTGACTACTCCCTCGCACTCGAGCTTCATTCTGCGTCAAAGTAACTCCGATAGCTCCTAAAATATAATTAGTCCTAATCTATAATCAATTAAACTATTAAAAACAAGAAAGAAAAAAAAAGGTTAGAAGTAGTTTTGAGTTATTGTCAGCTTGACTCTGTTACTTAGGCTCATTTGATCACGATGCTAAAGGATTGCTTGTCAAGTTCTCCAACTAGGTATGGTTTCAACCTGTGCCTATTCACTTTAAAGCTCTCATTCCCCTCTTCATCTTGTATCTCAATGGCGCCAGACGGTGAGCCATGTTTCACCATATACGGACCTGTCCATCTTGACTTGAATTTTCGGGGAACAACCTAAGTCTACTATTGTATAGTAATACTTTGTCCCCTTCATGAAACTCCTATGGCTTAATCAGGCAATCACGCCACCTCTTTGTCTTCTCCTTAAAGATTTGCACATTTTCATACACGTCCAGTCTAAACTCCTCCAATTCATTCTGCTGCAACAACTTGTATTCACCTGCAAGACTAAGATCAAGATTAATCATCTTAATTGCCCAATAAGCTTTATGTTGTATTTCAACAGGTAGGTGACATGATTTTTCATACACTAATTTGAATGGTGAAGTCCCTATGATTGTTTTTAATGCAGTTTTGTACGCCCATAGAGCTTCATCCAACTTTAAAGACCAATCCTTACGAGAAGTACTAATCGTCTTTTCAAGAATTTGTTGAAGTTTACGATTTGCCACTTCAACTTGCCCACTAGTTTGGGCATGGTACGGGGTTTCTGTTTTGTGTGTGACCCCATACTTAGACAATAATGCAGAGAACTGCTTGTCCACAAAGTGCAACCCATTGTCACTGATAATCACTCGAGGTGTCCCAAAGCGGATAAAGATAATCTTCTGTAAGAACTCACATCCCACCCGAGCATCATTGGTCCTAGTAGGGATTGCTTTAACCCATTTAGAGACGTAGTCAACGGCTACTAGAATATACTCGTAAGAATGAGACGATGGTAATAGGCCCATGAAGCCAATTCCCCGAACGTCAAAAATTTCACATACCAGAATGCAACTTAGTGGCATCTCATCCCTCTTGCTAATGTTGCTTTCCATTTGACACTTGTCACATGCAGCTACATACACCTGTGCGTCTTTGTACAAAGTAGGCCAATAGAAACCGGCTCCCATGACCTTTGTTGCAGTGTGATTTCCACCATAGTGTCCTTCAGCTGCTCCATCATGGCAATGAGAAAGAATGCTTGCCATCTCTCCTTCAGGTACACACTTTCGAATCACACCATCTACACACAGTTTAAACAAGAAAGGTTCATTCCAAAAATAACTTTTTACCTCACCATGAAGCTTCTTTTTTTAATCACGAGAGAGGTCACGAGGCGACCATCCACTAGCCAAAAAGTTGGCTACATCAGCATACCAAGACGGCCTTTCAGAGACCGCAGCAATGGAGAAAATTAGCTCATCAGGGAACTCTTCCCTTACTTTAATTGTTTTAACCGGAGGTCTCTCAAGTCGAGATAGATGATCGACGACTTGATTTTCTATGCCCTTCTATCTTTGATCTACAAGTCAAACTCTATGAGCAACAACACCCACCGCATCAGGCGTGGCTTGGACTCCTTCTTACTCAACAGGTATTTCAAAGCTGAGTGATCAGTGTGTACAATCACTTTACTCCTCACCTAGTATGATCTAAACTTGTCAAAAGCAAAGACCACAGCAATAAATGGGTCTAAACCTCCTATAGAATCCAGTATGTCCCAAGAAACTCCTTATGCTCTTCACAAAAGTCGATGGAGGGAGCCTAGCAATTATATCAACCTTAGCTCTATCAATTTCAATTCCATGTGCAGTCACTTTGTGGGCCATGACAATTCCCTCTTTCACCATAAAGTGCCACTTCTCCCAGTTAAGAACCAAGTGAGTAGTTTCACAACGTTCAAGCACGACCTCCAAAGTCTTCAAGAAATCCTCAAATTCATCACCAAAAAGGGTGAAATTATCCATGAATACGTCTAGACGCTTTTCGTTTAAATCAGAGAATATATACATCATGTACCTCTGAAAAGTGATAGGTTCATTACACAACCCAAACGGCATCCTCCTGTAAGCAAAAATACATGACGGGCAAATGAATGTGGTCTTCTCAATATCTTCTAGGGCAATGGGTATCTGATTGTAGCCTGAGTACCCATCCAAAAAGCAGTAACATCCATGTCCAACTACTTTCTCGGGCATTTGATCAATAAAAGGGAATGAGAAGTGGTTGTTGCATCATTCAGCCTTCTATAATCAATACACATTCTCCACCCAATGACTGTTCTTGTGGGGATCAATTCATTGTCTTCATTCTTCACCACTGTCATGCCCCCTTATTAGGTACAACTTGCACTAGACTAATCTACTAGCTATCATAGATCGATGGAAAAAATCACTATCGTATCTAGCAATTTGATGATCTCCTTGTGCACTACCTCCTCCAAATTTTTTGTTGAACTTGGGTTAGGGTTGCACCACTGCTTGCTATTTTCTTCCAATAGAATTTTATGCATGCAAATGGCTGGACTGATTCCTTGGATATCAACTATACTTCAGCCAATGGCCTTCTTGTGCTTTTTCAGCAGCTCCACCAGCTTTTGCTCTTGTGTACTTGTCAAGTAGCAAAAATAATCATAAGAAAATTGTTAGTTTCAAGAAAAGCATATTTCAAGTGAGTGGGGACGACTTTCAATTCCACATTAGGCTTAGAAGCCTCCTTTTTTAATTCCTCCTCATCAACCACTTGATCCTCAGTTTCAAGATCTCTAGCCTCTTTCTATATTTCAGGATCTTCATCATCCACTATGCTAGATTGAGTAATACACCTCTCTAGAGTATCCCTCACAAGCTTGTCAAACTTGTATTTTACATCCAATTCCCCAACAACATTTGGCTTGAAACACGAGTAGGCGGCCGCCTCATCATTGGGTATTTCATCATGCTCTTCATCTGGAATAGCACTTTTTCATTACTCACTCTAAGCATAAGCTGCCCCTCATAGATATCGAGGATAGCTCTGCCTGTACATGAAAATGGTCTCCTTAGAATTAGAGGCACCTCCTTGTTTACCTCCATATCCACCACAATAAAGTCTACAGGGAGCACAAATTTTTCCACCCTCACTAGAATATCGTCAATGATTCCCTCAGGTAAAATGGTGGTCTGGTCAGCCAGTTGTAGGGACACTAGTATTGATTTGATCACTCCAAGCTCACCTTCCAGCTTCCTGAATACAGACAGAGGCATTAGATTAATAGACGCACCAGAATCGCAGAGGGCCTTGTCTAATTTCTCACTCACCAACGAGCATGGTATGGTGAAGCTTCTTGGGTTCCCACACTTTTGTGGAATTTTGTTTTGCAATATAGCACTGCGGTGGGCATTCAACTTGACCACTGTTGTCTCCTCTAATTTTCTCTTGTTGTACAGGATTTCCTTCAAGAACTTTGCATAAGAAAGCTTCTGAGTGAGTACCTTTGTGAAGGGAATATTCATATAAAGTTGCTTGTGCATCTCCAAGATTCGCCCAAAATTTTGTAAAGTTTTTCCCGCTTTATCTTTTGAGGGAATAGTAGAGCTAGCATATGTCTACTTTCTTCAATCTCCTTTTGTATCACACTACTTTGGCTTTTTTGCTCTTCACTCTTTTTCTCTTCCAGTGTCTCGGTTTGCTTGTTTACCACCTCTTGTCTTGCTTTCACCGCTAGGTCAACCAATGTTCTGTCACTTCTCAGAGATACAACTCTGATTGTTTCCTTGGGTTCTTTTTAGTGTCAGAGGGTAAAGTCCGATGAGCCCTCTCAGATAACAAACTTGCAATCTATCCCAATTGTCTTTCTAAATTCCGGATAGCCATGCTTGATCTCGAATGGCTGCACCCTGAGTCTCAAAATTTTTATCTGATTTTTCGATGAATGTCTTCATGACATCTTCCATACTAGACTGATTTGACTGTTGTGGCTAGTATTACTGCCTCTGTTAGTTCTGAAAACCTGGTGGTCCTTGACCCTGGGGTCTAGGATTATTTTGCTGCCATGAGTTCAAGCCCCCAACGGCCGAACTCTACGAAAACATGGATGTCTTTGACCCATAGCATTACAGGTGTTCCCACTTTGGTAGTTTCCTCTATTAAAGTTCCCCACAACATTGACTTCCTCACCTGATGCTTGGCACTCAAGTGTAAGGTGTCCCATTCCACAAAAGTCACATGCTGCTTGCACTCACTCTGTACATTTGCCAATGTCAGCTTTCTTATTTCCTTGGCCATGGTGTCTAGCTGGGCTTGCATGGACGTGTTAGAGTCCACCTGGTGAACCCCAACTGATTTTCTTTTGTCATTACTCTCAATCGGCCACTGGTTAGCATCCTCAGATAGTTCGTCAAGGATTAAGACAACCTCCTCTGGAGTTTTCTTCATTAGTGGACCTCTACATGAAGTATTTAGAGTTCGTCGCGAGGAAGGTGTCAGTCTATCCCAAAAATCCTAGAGTTGCATCCACAAATCAATGCCATTGTGCTGACACTTTCTGACTATCTTCTTGAATCTTTCCCTAAGCTTCGAAAACCATTTTTGTCTCCTTCTGGCAGAAATTGTGGATTTCCCTTCTGAACTTCCCTGTTTTTGCAGCTGAGAAGTACTTCTCAAGAAACTTTATGGTCATATCTTCCCATGTCCTGATCGAACATGTGGGTAAGCAGTGCTTTGCGTCATCTTTCAACGAAAAGGGGAATGCCCTTAAGTAGACTGAATCTTTTGATACTCCATTGTATTGGAAGGTGTTCATGATTTCTTCAAAATCTATCAAGTGACTGTTAGGATCCTCGTTCACCTTCCCTCTATAAATATAATTGTTTTGGATAGTTTGAAGCAAGCCTTGCTTCAATTCAAAGTTGTTTGCTGCTTAGGGTAGAGGTCTGACACTTGACAGTCTTTGATTGTAGACTGGCCTATCATAATCACCCAATGATCTTCCAGGCCTGGGTGTTGCATTCTCGAACTGGTCTTCAACCAAAGGTCGGTTTAGATTGAATCTTCAACCCCCATTATCTTCGACAATCTCCTAAGCAATTCTCCGAGCTACTTCAGCTGCTATCCGTGCAGCTTCTTGTTGTGCCGTCTCTCTTGTAGCCAAGTCTATTCCGTCATTCTCTTTGTTTGCCATCGTATCTTGAGTCGAAGTTTGACCCAAGAATTTTTCTGTTAATTCTCTTTCTTTTCTCAGTTGTCGTAAGTGTTTCTCCAACTCTGGTTTGTAGGGTATCACTTTCTTTGAAGAGGATCGAGTCATAGACCAGAGAAATCAAACCTGTATCCTGTAGAGAAGTGAGAAAACGTGAATACACTAAAGTAAAATTTGGTTCCTAAATTAGTACTGAAAATTATCTCATACTTATTGGTTGCCAATCCCCGGCAATGGGGCCAAAATTTAACGAGCGCAACATACAATACAAAGTTATTGCTCGCTAGTCAAAGATAGTATATATTAATTATCGTCTCCAGAGGGATTGAATTTAAACAGTATTCGAATAATCTCTAGTTGATTACTATCCAAGAGAATTGACATTTGATTTGATGATTATTACTATGATTAACTAATAATAATTAAGCAACTAACAATCGATCACAAAAGACAGTAGATGAGCAACGAAGAATCATGAATGAGAGGAATAAGGGTATTTGACTAGATAGGTGCAAGATAATTGACTCGAGATCCGATTCTTGAGTTAATTCGCTCTATAATATGGTTGATTCTCACGAATTCAACCGATAATCAGATTACACTTGAAGCTAATATTCCTAATTCGATTAAACGTTAATTTCAGTAATTAATCCGATTGAAGCACGATAAACAATTGCAACAATAAAATGATGGTTATGATCTAAAGGGTAACTTCTCACGAATATCTCCTATTTTATAGTTCGATTAACAATTCAAGAGGCTCTTTAGACTACCTATTTGAGTCACGAATTTAGACTAGAACATCATATGTGAAGAAATTCAATATCAACTCCTCTTTCGATAAGCGAAATAATAAATAACTCCACAATACAAATTAAATCTCCATCAATTAATTCTAACAATTATCAAGAATCGAATCCCCTATCAAGTTATCGAAACACCATATCTATCAACACCCTAATGGAAATTACTCCATAGCAATGGAGTAAGACATCTTAATAAGGTCCAAAAACAAAAACATCAATTCTAATGATTCGATACAAACTCCCGTATTGCATCGATTGGAGGTTGAAATATTGATAATTTCTTGAGTCTTCTTGCCTTGGTTGGTTCTCTAATCTTCCGTAAGTCAAAAGTCCTCCAAAAAATATATTTTTAGTATATTTATATCAAGTAGGAACGAACTCGGACGGAACTACTCTCTTTGAGCCGAAGTGGGAAAACCTGCAAACTTATTACACTTCATGCGTCACGCAGTGCGTCGCAGGCTGCGTCGCATCAATGTACTTTACTCAGTTGCAAACTCTCTGAACTCCGCGTGTCTGACAGAATTTTACCTTAGTGCATCGCGGGCCACGTCGCAGCAATGCTTTTTCTTGTTAGACCAAAGAAACCCAGTCTCTGAACTTGTCAAACTTTCTGGCGCATAGTTGCATTAGTGCGACGCACGCAGCTACACTTTGTGTGTCGCATTAGTGCATTTATTCTGGCCATTCCACTTTCGTATGAAACGCCTGTCCAAGAGCCCCGGATGCTATTCCGATTTAATTTTTTGGCTTTTACTCAGATTTCAAAGCTCCAATTACTTGATTTTTCTCCAATTTATCCTTTTAACTCGGAATCACTTCCTGCAAGGCATAAAAACACGTAATAAGTATAAATCACCTTTATTTAAGCTCAAACACACATAAAATGTAGTAATTAGAGTGCAATACTACGGCTAAAACCCAGATTTCTAGCCTACCATCATCTAACACTTAAATCATCATCACAAACACGTTGGCAATTCATATTGAAAGTATAAAGCAATAAGATCTCAAACTCCACAAATAAGCCTTCGTTCAAATTAGTAGAAATTGGTGTGGATCCAACGACTAAAACTAAAGCTTATTGTTTTGCAACATATGAACTTGAAACTTTTGAGTAAATTTTTTTGGCCTCTCATTAAAATTTGAGTTTAGGCCCCAAATATGATTGAGCTTCCCTTGAGCTATCCCACCTTAATAGCTAACTTTTGAAGTGTGGTTATTCATGAGTTGTATCAATAGTATCAGAGCCACCTGCCGTACTCCGTACCCATCATATAATGTATGGTGATACCGGTATTGCAATGTTGTCCGTTGTGTCATGGATGGTGACGCCGGTATTGCAATATTGTCCATCGTGTCATGGATGGTGAAGCCGATATTGTAGTGTTCACCCGGGCTAGAAAGGTCTAGCGCACAACCATGGGGGATGATGGATGCGGAGCATGGTGACTTGTTATAGTGCATTACAAGGTATGAGTCTTGAGTCTCACATTGATATTGCAATATGCTGATATGATATTTATATAGATTTGGGCTCTCCCACCTCAATAATTAGCTTTTAGGGTATGATTCCCTCGATTATGCAGCTCAACTATATATATTGCTTCTCACTAATAAGTTATTGGATAATTCTTCTACTAGGACTTATGCTAATGAAAAGAAGTCGTTTTGAATATTATTTTGAATTTGAATCTGCCTCTGCTTGCAGGAATAAATTGGTATTGAATTCTTATTGATCATATGTTTTAGTAACTCTATCAAAAAGGAAACCTTAGCTCAAATTCAAGAAATTGTGACAACAAGCCGAGATGGCATGAAATCCATTTATGATTTATCTAGTTATATATAATTAAAGTTTTAAGATGGATCAATTTTATACTATAAGAGAAATCCCATGTTAGCAAATTAACGAATCAATACTATTGACAATTTCCTTTTGAGATGTTATGTTATGGTACAGGCCGCACTTTGCTTTAGCTGCATCTTATTAACTAATTCCGAATAATATAAGTTTATAAACAATACTACTATAAGGTATTAAAATTGATTTCCGAAATTTGGGGACTAAAGTTTAGAGGTGCAGATGGAATGAACATTTATTGCTTTATTGAAAAAGAATATAGATCATGTAACCAAGTTAGAAATACTTGTAATCAAATGAATATTTAATACTTAATACTTTTTAAATCCGTTTATTAACTGTACAAGTTAGTAGCCTTTCCACTTATCGTACTAATCATAAAAAGGATACAATTTATCATGTGATAAAACAATAATAGACCAACATAATCTAATGTCACAACTCATGTAACATAAACTATTTATGATTGTGATTCTAACGGTTGTGGAGTTTAGTACTTCTTTTTTCTTTTTAAAGACAAAATCGATAATTGAACTTAATTGGAAATTGACTAGTACAATGAAAGTTTTTGTGTCTGTACATTCAAATAAAAGTTTTGGACTTAAAAATGTAAAAGAAATATCATAAGCTGGGATTTTCTTATGTAGCATCAGAAGTACGCCAAACTATTATTCAAAGATTAACAATGTTAACACAAAAAATTATCTAAAGTTTTATAATTACAAAACTCATTCAAATTGTAATTATTAAAAACACTTAGTTTTAATAGTTGGTTGATGTTCCGTTAGTTAGACCAAAGTGTTTAGTTGTAGAAACTTAATAAATCATATATGCATAAGATAATACAATAAGGACCAAAACAGATTCACCCTCAAACTTGAGGGACCATTTGAGTTAAAACAAACTTAAACCAGTACTTGGTTCAGGTGTGAAAATGGAAAAAGAATAGTCTAAAGTCAGAAGTCAGATTTTTCTTCATATTCAACTTTTCCATTTTAGCATTTTCCTAAATAATAATTTGGTCCTTTTTAGTAGATGAAAAATAATCATGGTTTTCACACTACTTTCCACAGCCACTAAAAAGTTACTCCCTCCCGATTCACTTTAATTAATTTTTTGACTAATTTTCACACATATTAAAGAATTTATCTTTTAATATTAATTAACAATATTAACCTTAATTTATTCATTAAAAATATAACTCCTGCGCTCTTTATTCTTAGAGCAACTTTGAAAAATAAAAGTTAATTCTTTCTTGATATAATATCAAGAAAAAATTAAATATAGTGGATCTCAAAAAAAAAAAAAAAAGAAGCTAAAAGATCAATTAAAATAGACCAGAGGGAATACGATGGAATGATAAATATTTTTCTATTTTTAACAAAAAATTCGGGTTCGAACCCTAAGTAAGAAAATATTTTTAGTAGGAGCACCTTGTTCTCAAGGTTCGTTTGATTGTGAAACAAGTTATTCTAGAATTAATTATTCTGAATTAGTTATCCCGAGATTATTATCTATTCTCTCATAAAAATGAAAATAACACTAAAACTATCTCGGAATAACTAAG